GTTGGGCTTGCTCAGCCTGGAGAAGAGAAGGCTGCGGGGAGACCTGATTGCGGCCTTTCAGTACCTAAAGGGGGCCTATAGGAAAGATGGGGAAAATCTTTTTAGTAGGGCCAGCAGTGACAAGACAAGGGGTAATGGTTTTAAACTAAACCAGGGTAGGTTTAGACTAGATATAAGGAAGAGGTTCTTTACAATGAGGGTGGTGAAACACTGGAACAGGTTGCCCAGAGAGGTGGTGGAGGCCCCATCCCTGGAAACATTCAAGGCCAGGTTGGACGGGGCTCTGAGCAGCCTGATCTAGTTAGCGGTGTCCCTGCTCCTGCAGGGGGGTTGGACTAGATGACCTCTAGGGGTCCCTTCCAACCCAAAACATTCTATGATTCTATGATTCTATGATCTTTAGCGAAGGCTCCTGGCCCAGTATGTGGGAGAAGTTCACCCTCAGCATGCGGCCAGGTCACAAGAGAAAGGGAATCCTGGAGGAATAAGGGATCCGCCACAGTGCATCTGGCTGATTACAGCTACAGAAACTAGGAATGGCTCATATTTTCTACGCTCCTGGGCATTCACTAGCCTTTGTCACCCCTTTAGGTTACTGTCGAAGAGGACAGCTACCTCGCCCACCCAACACGTGACAGAGCAAAAATACAGCACTCCCGACGCCCTCCGACACGGGGACACTTGATGGCTGTGGTACGTATAACAAATTCCAGGCACCCGTTTAGGTAAAATTCCCCTGTAAATATTTCATTTGTAAGTAAATGCAAGAAGACCTGGTGTTTGAGCTCTGGCCTGAACTGAAAATTGTCATAAGACCCAGGGCTGCCCTGGGTCATCAGATCCAGTCCCCCGTTCTTGTAGACCGTTGCATTGCGCCAACCCTTTTGCAAAGTGGTAGCTTGCCATCACTGACACACGTTTTCCTGATGTCGAAAATACAATGCTACTTCAAGTTTCTGATGGCAAATAACCAGACAGTGGGGGAGCTCAGTCATGGGTTAGTGCAGATGGCTTGTCCAAGGCTGCTCAGCTGACCTGCACCTCAGCTACGAACCCAACACACCTGGGGCTCTGTCACTAGGTCACATTTGCTATTATTCCTGGTCCATCTTTGCATTCCGGTGCAGGTGATGCCTATCTTTGGTGTAAGAGATCGTCAGAAGTAGCGTGCAGCCATGCCTGTTCCTGTGATAACACAGCTCTTCTTTCTCTGCTTCTTCAGGCATCTACCTCAACCTCTGATGGCATGCTGACACTCGACCTGATCCAGGAGGAAGACGCCTCTCCAGAGGATCACAGCACCTGCGAAGAGAGTTTCCGGGTGGATCTGGATAAGTCGGTGGCGCATCTTACTGCTGGCCGGCGCCGGTCGGATTCAGAGAACGTCAAGTCGTCAGAGAAAGGCCGGACAGGGAGCCTCCCGAGACGGGAGGTGACCTCATGGGACAGATCTGGGCAGCGCAATGACTCCTTTGACAAAGGGACCATGTACACACCCCAGGTCCCGAAAAAGCTCTCGCACTCAGAAAAGAATAAATGTGCCTCCATGGAAGAAATTCTGTCTCGACGGGACTCTTCCACGCACCGGGCGGTGCTGAGGAGGGGGCTGGAAGCTCAGTTTGCCTCAGCAGAACCAGAGCAGCTGTCCCGGATACAAGAACTGGTTGCACTGAAACTGGAAAAAACTCAGGAACTGCTGACAGAGGTGAAGGGCTACGGGGAAGGCAAGAGAAAGACCAAGGATTCCAACACCAGCACCACCACCACCACCTCTTCTTCCTCATCATCTTCCAAGTCGGACTCTGAAAGGATCCTGCAAGAATCTGAGAGGTTGCTGGGGGAGGCCTCCTCCACCTGGAGCCAAGCCAAGAGGGTTTTGCAGGAGATCAAAGAGTTGAGGGACCTGTACAAACAGTTTGAACTGCAGCAGTCGGACTCAAAACCCAAACAGAGCTCACAGTCTCAGTACAGGAAGAGCATGATGTGAAGGCAAGCCTTGGGATTGGGAGGGAGGGACAGGGGAGGGCGGCCGTTTGGTCTTTTTTTTTTTAATTATTATTATTTACAGTGTTCAAAAGAGTGAAAAGGTGCCTGTTCTCACCCAAATTTGCTTCTCAAAGCTTGAACCCTTCCTTTCCTCCATCACATCCCCTGACGAAACAACCCTGTGTCCCAATAAATTCAGTTACAGTTTATACCTCCTTTTTTAAAGAGCACCCTTTGCACCGCAGGCCCCCAACTTCTGTCATGCTTGGAGGACGGAAGAAAGCACCAGTTCCTAGAAAATGCCCCTGCATGCCTGGAGCAGCACGTGCATAACGATGGGGACAGATGCTCTTGCGCTGTATAAGCCCTGGCTTTGCTGCTCTAACGTCTGAGCTGTATCCTGCATTACAGCTCCTTGACCAAGAGTCTCGTCTTGTTCCCTCACTGTCCTCTTGGAAATAAATGACAAAAAAAGGTGTCCGTCCCAGCCAATGCTTGGAAGTCCCCATTATCCAGGAACTGTCTTGAAGATGCTCGGAAGCTCAGGCTGACCTCAAGTTTTACGCGAGTTACCAGAGGCACTCGCTGGACTGCAGCTAGTGGGGTTCTGTCCTGGCACAGGTCCCTTCTGTGAACTCCTGGGGTCGGCAGCTGTTATTCTTGTGGTACATATACAGCCCTCCAGAAGGAGGGCAACAGGTATGCAATCTGTGTTCAAACTAATCCTGTCTGTCCGTTGATGCTTTACAGAACCCCCTTGGCCCTGTGCAATGGGAGTTAGCAGCTATATGTCTTCCTTTCTGTGCAAATAGAGGATCAAAGCCTTGAATCTAACAGACAGCCCATATGGGTTGTTGGGGGAGGGGTTGTTTTCTGGCTTTTCCATTTTCATGTCTTTTTTTTTTTCCCCTTTTCTTTGAGCTGAGGGGAAATGGAAAAATCAGGGTTGTGTACAGGCAGCAGCCGGAAACCAAGAGCCAAAAGTAGTTTCAGTAGGTTTGATTCTGTTCTCTCATGCATGCACAGGCTCGGTTTCTGCCAGTCGGACTGCAACAGATAGTCCTTGTTGCTCCCCTAAGATCAGAATCAGGCCTACTGAAATGAAAGCTGAGCCTGCAAGAGAGCTCAAATACCCTCATCCTGGTGATGCCAAGCACTTTGCTAAATAGGTGGCTCAGTTTTCACGCCTTTAAGCAGAAAGACAAGAGAGGAGGATGTTAAGATGTCTCACAGGGCTGAAAGTACACCAATGTGGTAACATCCAACCGTTACTTTTTTTTTAAAAAAGGAAACCTAATTCCCGTACCTACATTGCAAATAATCCATGAAAATATTAAAACCAACAGAGTTATTTCCTGGTCGCAGTTGGTGTTGTCTATTTTCTTTTAATGGTTGACCTCCCTTGGAAAGGAGATTGGTTACTTCCACTTGTGTCTGGTCAGGCTCATGTTGCTGATGTAGAGTTGCCAGTGCTGCAAAGGAAGCATTTCTGGTTTGTTTTACTCAGTCTTTCTCCCACTTGCCTGTTAGAATTACTGGCAGAATTATTACCGTTGGCACTAGGTTCCTGAAGATCTTTTTATTTACAAACTTCAGATCCAGCCCTTGCATCAATCTTTTACCTGTTCCTGACTCGAGCGCAGCTCTTTGCCCACTCTTAAAGGACAATTTTGGCAAGGCATCGCTCATTCGCCTACGCTCTTGTCACAGAGCTGCATGCTACAACTGTCCAGGGGTGTACGTGTCACCCTTCCACCATTTTTGCTCTTTTCAATTTTTTTTCTTACCTTTTCTATCACTTGAAGGATCTGTTTGGATGCATCAGAGGAAAAAACATAACCCCTAAAAGAGATTAAAAAAGAATGCATGTGAGCCACTCTGATAAAACCCTTCCCATCCAGCTCTTTGATCGAGAGAACAAGAAAAATACGCAAATATTTTCCAGATGTGACATTCAGCATTAAAATTAGCCTTGTTTTCAAAATAAGAAAGTTAGTCTAAAAACCTGGAGGTTTGAATTGCACTCGATTGGGATGGATGTGAGTTGTGACCGGCCTACTGGACTGATATCAAAATGTAAGCATGAGAATACACCCAATCCTTACTGTACAGGGGTCGTTAAACGCGCTCGAGTCTTTCTTAAGCAGTGAGGTAATATAAAAATTGGCTGATTAACAGGGTCACAACAGTGCTGAAGGCAGAGATGAAACAGTGAGCAGTCACCCAAGACAGGTTACTTTTTTTGTTGGATGGGTAGTCAAGGGTATCTTTATTTCACTGCCTCCACAAGATTATGGGATTGAATCCCATCCGATACCACCTAGATGTCTGGACACAGCGTTGCCATCTTTAGGGCTCCGCTGTCCAGAGAACAGGGATGCATTACGCCAGAGCTGGGCAGAAATACGGGATCATTTCTATTCTTCAGACCAACCTGTGCAAGCCTTTTCATTCTGTAACTAGAACAGGATTTGGAGGAAATGATGGAGCTGATGTAGGAAGTTAGGACGAAGCTACTTCCAGCCTGGGAAGGATTGCAGTTCTCATCCTGCCAAAAGCCGGAAGGCAATTTCCTAATTCCAGTCTGAAAACCTAAAGGGCCGAGTTTGATGCAGCTCTTGGTGCGGCATTTCCACAGGCACAGCAGGGTACCGAGCCGCGGCGTGCCAGCAGGAGCGGCAGCTTTTTGGCTCCAAGGGCTGTGTTCTTGCCCTACGAGATGCCCAGCTCTCCCACTGCTCCTGCCTTACCCCCTCCCCTCTGCGGGGAACTGAGTGTGTCAGGCCAGCACAACCACGATGCTGATTTAGGACAATTTTTCAAACACAAGATTCCAGATCAGATCCATGCATTGGCTTCTCCCTCCCTTCTCTCCACCTCAGCTCATCACTGCTGAGTAGGATCTTGTGAAGATTCACTATTTCCAAACTTGGAAATTTCTTTCAGAATACGTTCCCTTTTAGAAAGCATCATTTCTAACGGGGCCCAGGGAAAGGGAACAACTAAGAAAGAAAAAAACCCATGAGTTTTCAGAGTAGAAAACCTATATTTTTCACTTGGGAATATTTTTGTATCCTACAAAACGTGAATTTTTCCTTAAAAACCTCTCCAAGCCAAAATAAAACATTTTGTGTTACCAACCGCCCCCCTTCAAGAAGCCTGACACTGTTTTCCACCGGCAATTTTTACATTGTTTTCATTCAAAACAAAATTAAACTTGCATTTTGGGCTCAGCCCCCGTGCTGCCGAGCGCTGTGTGTTACTGGGTCATGGCTAAGAGACCCAGCCACGCAGCAGAGCCGGAGTAGAGGGTTCTGTGGATTTTTAGATGCTTCACAAGAATATCGATAAATTCATTCCCACATTGGGAGCCTTGGACTCCAGACATTGCACAAATTGAAAGGATCGAAATCCCTCTCTCCCCTTCTCCCACATGGGCTATAATTCTGCCCTCTTTTTATTCTTTTTTTTTTTAATTTATTTTAAATTTTGCAAAGTTCTCCCCTCTGTCAATCCCGCTTCTGGGATTAGAGACAAAAAGCCAATTATGAGCAAGAATGGCATGTGTATGGAAAACATGCCAGTCACGTTAGCGCTGCCGTTCCCTTCCCGAGCACAGCTTCCCGCGTGGAGAACGGACGGGGAAGCTGTGGCTGGGACTGCCGGCGGGGACCGTTCCTGAGGGCAGGGGGAAGAGGGTTGAGCCTGTTTCCTCCCCCCCAGCGGGTGCAGTTCATTGACAGATCACAGTTAGCGACAGTTCATTCTCTATTTCACCATATAAACAGCTAAGGCAGGCACTGAACACACAGTGATTCTCACCCTTATTTTCTTTTATTGAATCACATTTGAAAGGACTGAGTAGAAATTTTGCTTTTTTTTTTAAAAAAAAACCAACCCACCCTACAAACTGCAATAATAAAAATGATTCAGCCGCAATTGCAGTGATTCTCTCGAGTCTCTTCCCAGCACGCCTACGCCGAGGAAGGCATTCACACCAGGGAGGGGGGGGCTGCAGCAGGAACCTCCTTCCATCCCAGCTCGCTACTGCCCCGGGGGGTCCTTGCACCAGGGGATGGGGAGGAATTTATGATGCTGCGAGAAAAAGGGATCTTCTTTGTGAATGGATTTGCAGTCCGTGTACTGTAACAGCCCAAAGTCATCAAAGGAAGGGAATTGTCCTTGAATTGCCAGTGGAACCTCTGAAAAGGATTCCAGAAGGTTTTTTCGAGATTTGTGAGGGTTCAGGGGCCTGCTTGAGTTTTACCATGCAAGTCACTCAAACTAGAAACATGCCTGAACGCTGAAGTGCTTCACAGAAGCTAAGAATGAGGGTCTGCTGCTCTCTAAGGTCCAGCTTGTGGCTGCCTGCTCCCCAGTGCCTCAGCTGTAATTCGGATGGTCCCAAGGCAGCAGTGCACCCTCACTTCTACCACAGCCCAGAAAATCAGGCACAGAAAATCCAAGCTTCAGTCCAGCAGGCCTACGGGAAGACGTCACTTTGCAACGTGAAACAACCTCCCAGTCATCTCCAAGACGTCAAACTTGAGAGCCGCAGAAGTAATCTCAGCTTCCGACCTCTCTGGGAGCATTGCTCTTCTTGTCCAAAAGCCCTCAGAATTGCTCTGGGCACTGGGCAGCAATTTTTCAGGAAGATCAGATGTTAACATGTGAATAAAACAAAGTTGAAAATGAAAAGTTTCTTTATACCTGGTCTCTACACAACAGGAACAAGGGCAGAGTCCACCTGGAAGCTGAAAGGGTTTGCATTTTGCTTTCATGCCTGTCTGGTACTTAAAGCTTTCCCTCTTGCTGTACCCGCCCCAGCCTCCCTGCAGTGGGACCGTCCCCGTGTCCCTTGGGCACCCTTCACCTGGCTGCACCGCGGCGCTCCGCAGGTGGCTACGCCGAGAATAAATCAGTAAGCCTGGTGGCTCAGCAGGCACGCCCCCTGCAAGCGTGCGCCTGGGATGCTTCGCAATCCAGCAAGGAAAAATTTGC